CCCCTGGGGACTTCCTTGCTCTGCTCCCCTTGCTGATCTGTTGCACGCCCTTAGTGTTTTGCCTTGGTGTGGTGGGATCAGATCAGGCGCAATTCCCACACTTTGTCGCCAGTGGTGTCCCCTGTAGGGCTATGGGTCAGTGAGGGATGTTGTGTCTCATAGTGGGGCCAGCCCTCTGGTCCTCTCTGTGCATTGGCTGCTCTGAGCGGGAATATCGTCCTCAGACTTTCACTCATGCTTTCAAAGGGCTCTCATCTCCCTGCCATGGCAGCAGCCCAAGGAAGCAGACTGGTTGTTAACCAGGTGGCTGGGGTACCCAGAAAGCCAGGGCTGAAGCAGAGTCTAGATCCCCAACCTAGGCTATGCTGGTCAGGGGCTGGTTCTCTGGTTTGACCATTGGATGGCCTGTTCCTATGCCTGCTCCCACCATTGCCCTGCCACAACCCCTTCTTTTCCTTTCTGGATAAATTCGGGAGTTGGGAGTTCAGGCCCTCCCTTCTAGCCCTCCCCTTACCCACTCACCTATTTCGCAGCGCTTCCCCAGAAATCCTTCAGGGCACTGGCAGACGAAATCTGAGAAATACACAGCCTGCCGACATAGTCCCCCACTGAAGCACCTGGGTTCGCTGCAACCTGCCAAACGTAAGTAAGGAAAAGCCTAAGTATTTTGAAGGGGGGCAAGGATGGTCCCATGCTAAAATGTCCATCTTTTGTGCAGGAAGACCAAAAGCAAACAACCAAACACATTGTCACGGAACGGATTCTGATGCATAGAGACCCTACAGGACAAGAAAGACTGCGCTGTGGGTTTCCGGGCCTGTAACACTTTATAGTAGGAGAAAGCCTCGTCTTTCTCCTGCAGAGGGGCTGTGGTTTCGAACTGCTGACCTTGCGGTTAACATCCCAATTCATAACCTCTACTGGTGGGGGTGGGGGTGGAGGAAGCCTTATGCTCACCCACCTTATGCAAAACGACCCCCTCCTCTGTCAATGGTAGTCTGTGGACTGCAAAGATGGACATGTTGCCAGGAGGGACCAGCCCCCGGGGAAGCACATTATGCCTGGGGAAGTACAGGGCCAGGGAAAAGGAGGAAGATCCTCGTGGAGATGGATTAACACAGAAGCTGCAACAAGGGGCTCACACACACGAACAAGGGCGAGGGCGGTGCAGGATGGGGCAGGGCCTCGTTCTGGCACCTCACAACAACGAGGACGCTGGACAAGGGGGCCCTGGTGGCACAGGGGCTCGGCACTCCGTGGTTAACCCAAAGGTGGGCAGTTGAACCCAACTGCCACTCCGCTGGAGGAAGATGCGGCAGTCTGCTCCATGAAGATTTCGTCTTCAGTACAACCCGATGGGGCAGCTGTACCCCTGCAGGGCTGTTCGAGTCAGAATCAGCTCGATGGCCACAGGAGGAGGCTGAATAAGACACCGTTCAGCTCTGTGGGCGCTGACTGGTTGGCAGTGACCAGGAAGGACGCTCAAAGCAGCTTCGAGACTGGCTAACGTTTTTGTTTGTTCCATGAGTTCGAAACCACTCAGTCTCAACAAACAACAAGCGCGTCCCTCTTTCAAGGCCCAGCGCAGACCCTGCTAGCAAACCTTTCTTGATGAGAAGGCTGAAGTTCTAAACAAGCTTTCTACCTGCCAGGCACTAGTCTCCTTGGCGGTGAACAAAAATCAACCTATTTCATCTTCACAGCAAAGCATGCACTACATTTTTGCAAGCAGTTATCACAGTGCGATGGCTTAGTATCTACCAGGCACTATTCTAAGTGGTTTTCCCAACGAAGGGATTCGCTTAGTCCCTGCAACCATCGGTGGCGTATGCTCCCCATTTTACAGATGAGAAAACGGAGGCTCCACAAATGAAAACATTTGCCTGTGAGCACAGTCTCACTGCTTTGCTTTGGGGCTGGGTCATCTTTGCCTTTGCCCAAGGCACACCAGGCCTGGAATCTCTCTTTTTTTTTTTTTACGATGCGGGGGATGGAGAAAGATCAGGTTTGAGCCCAGGAGCTGGAGGCCGCAGAGCACACGTACTTTTGACGGGCACGGAGTGGCACTGAGGCCTGCCGCTGTTGCACCGGCAGTATTCTACCCGGTTGCTTCTGAGCATGGGGCGCAGCCATGACTCGTGTTGCTGGTATACCATCTGTGTCTTTTCATCTCTGCAGGTCGCTGTAACGAAAGATAGGCGGCCTTCTTTCGAGAACAACTCACAGAACAGGGATTTCCTACTGCTGGTCCCTGAGAAAAGGCCCTCGCTTTGGTTTTAAGATAAGCCGTTCTTTGCTGGCTGATAACAAATTCTCAATATTTTGCCACCTGAGACCCCCTTTAGTGCCCCACCCCACCCCTGTGGGCCCCTGTCTTGAAATAATGTATCTATCAAACTGCACATATTAAATCATGCTCTACTCTTTCCATGTATAACTTAGCAAATGTGTACACATGCATATAACTGCTTACCAGAGTTTTTGATACACACGAGTATTACCGCCCTGAGGTGATTTATTTCTAGCCCCTAAGAGATGTTTTCAATTTTGTCTGTGCCGAAAATGGGCTACTTCCACTAGTATTTCTGATAGAATGGAAACAGTTGGAGTACTCTCGTTCCTTCTCCCTCTTTCTGGAAACCAGAATGCCAACTTTAAAAATCTTTCACATTTCGTTAAGGAACGCAGTAGTATATGCTCACTGTAAAGTCACCCTTGCCCTGGCAGGAAGTGCTGCAGGGAGAGTCGGGAGCGACTCACTCTGGGGAACATCCACTCTGGATGGAAGGGGCGTTGAGAAGCCTTCCATACTCAGCAGCACCCGGTCCCCAGGGTTGAGGGTTCTAGGCCCGAGCTAGGCCTAGAGTTCTCCTCAGAGGCAAGAACTTAACCCAGTTGGTACCATTTTCCGTTAGCTGCGTGGATGGTTTTGGTTTCCCTTCTCAAGGTGGGTTTTTGTTTGTTTGTTTCCCTCTTGACAACCTAATGGGAATGTCCCTCAGCTTTCTAGACAGGAGCTAGAGCCAACTCTAGACAAGGGCCCTTTCTCTCCACATCATTCCTGCCAGGTAGCTTGGGTTCAAAAAACCTCCAAACCCAGTGCTGTCGAGCCGACCCTGACTCGGCGACCCTCTGCGACAGCGCAGAACTGTCTCATTGGGCTTCCAGGGCTGAAATCTTTGTGGAAGCCACCTTTTTCTCCTGTGGAGCCCCTGGTGGGTTCAAACCCCTGACCTTTCCATTGGCAGCCTAGTATTTAACCACTGTGACACTAGGCTCCTGAGCCTGGCAGCTATCCCCATCGTCCCAACAGAAAACCCAGGAGACAATGATGACATGAGGGAACGTATTCAAGGACACTGTGTGGAGTTGGCATGACAATCTAGGGACAAGCCAAAGCCTAGCTGCTGTCCCGAGGTGGCTGTCTGGCCTTGCACGAGCTCCTCCATCTCTCTGGGCTCTGTCTGCTGTCTCATCTGGAGGACAAGTATTCTCTGCTGTTGAGCTTACAGGGCCCCACCAGCTCGGCAGTTCCAGGAGAGCTAGCCTGGTTCCAATTCCTCCCCAGACCTGGCTCGCTGCAGCCAGCTCACGGCGTGAGCAGAGATAAGTGGTGGAGGGATGACACGGGGGCCATTGCTGAACTAGCCTGCATCATTTCACCTCCACGTGGCTCATGTGAACAGGTCCTGACAGAGCCTAAAGCACCCGGGACCCATCCTGAATCCCAACCCCGCTTCCTACTCACCCAACCCCCTGCCGCCTCTGCTTACCTCTGTAAGATCTGGCTCCTCTTTTGAATCGGACGTGACTTTCCTGCAAAAAAAAACAGGGAAGGGAAGGAGGGTCAGCACACGCTGGAAGTCTGGAGAATGAAGAGAGCCAAACCAGAGAAGCGCGGGGAACCCTCCCGTCGCTCAGGTACCCGGTCCCAGGTGAAATGTCCATCTCTGAGTCCTGCGCTCATTTCCCCGTGCCTTCTAGACACGCACTTTGCAAAGGCAGTCTCTGCGTGAGGGACATGGCCCGGAGGACTTGGCCTGGCGTGCGAGTCACTGTGGGGCAGTGAGTTATTTATTACACGTCCAAGTCTCTGTCCCTCCCACCAAACGACCTTTTCCCGCATGGGTCTGGGGAAAGAAGGTGGGGAAGACACTAGAAGGCTTCCGCTGTGGGCGCCATCCTGCTGGGTATGACCTGAGCCCTCTGAGAGGCTCGAGAGGGGGTCTCCTGAATAAGGGGGAGCCTCCCAACAGACATCTGGATTTGGGTTTGGGACACACCGGCACCCGCCACACATGAGCCCCCTGGGCTTCAGGGAGTGTGTGTATAAAGACACGAAGGGGCTGAGAGGATGGTTGATGGTAGAGGGGACGCAGCAGTCCAGCCGTGGGGCAAAGGGGGACATCTGGGGTACGTTTCAGCTCCACCGACTTGGGATCAGTCTTGGGTTCATTTCCATGAAGGGAATGGCTACTTTAATTAAATGCTGGAACACGGATGAAACGGATCTTACATTGGATCGCACTGTCATTGATTTCAAAGTGAGTACCACCACTGTGGACAGCAGGGGCTAGACCCCCGTGCCTTCAACGGAGCCGCTGCAGAGAGCGCTCGCAAATCCTGCTGCTCAGGGACTGCTCCGCGGCCTTATTGGATGCCCCTTCTTACTAAGGGCACTTGAAAAGAAAGCAGTCGCTTCCTTCCCAGCTAAATAATAAGCAGCAAGAAGGCAGTTTGCCTTCCTTGTATGGTTCACAGCTAATGGGTGCACAGCAGCTTTTAGAAAGACTTTAGATCCATTTATAAACTATCAAGGGCTCATGAGGGAGGGGGGAGCGGGGAAGGAAGGGAAAAAATGAGGACCTAATGTCGGGGGTTTAAGTGGAGAGAAAATGTTTTGAGAAACGATGTACAAATGCGCTTTACACAATTGATGTGTGTATGGATTGGGATAACAGTTGTATGAGCCCCTAATAAAATGTTTTAAAAAAAAAAAAAAGTTTCCAGAAGGGAAAAAAAAAAAAAAAGAAAGACTTTAGAGTTGAATCCAAGCTCATTCTTGAAAGTAAGCTCCAAAGTAGGCAATCGGAGGCAGGGGACGGAAGTGATAACTCACGTCACTGCCTGGTGTGTCACTGTTGGGGCCCTGAATCTCACACACACACACACACACACACACACACACACACACACACACGGCAACTGTGTATGAGGGGGTTTCAAAAAGTTCATGGAAAAATCCATTGCCTGATCATCCCTCTTTCCTATGAACTTTTTGAAGTCCCCCTGTGTGCATCCCTCTGGCACCACTCCCGTCCATGGGCTGGGTCATAGGAGGGGCTTCGGTCGGACTGCAGCTGTCAGGGACGGGGCATGCCGAGATGGCCTGGACTCCTCACCTGGCTGGACAAAGTGATGGTGACCACGCCACAAAGCAGCAGTAGACACGTGAGGTCTCTCTTCATTTTAGTCATTTCTTCAGTGTCTCTTAAATTCTGGACGAAGAAGCTAAGTGGGGGAAAACCAAAACAAACAAAAACACCAACTGGATTATGTGACGTGAGCACGAAGGCAGATGACCAAGTTCAAGAACCTGTCATTGGGACCATTGTGGGGACTCTGGGTTCAGCATCCGCTCCCACCACGGGAAGCCCCAGGACAAGGACCTGCAAGGTGTTTTTGCCCAGTTTCTGTGTGCTAAAGGACAGGACCATCTTGGGCATTTCTTGGCCACCTCGCTGCTGGCAGTGCCCTGGCTTGGCTTCCCAGAAAGTCTCTCCTGTCTTGGACGGACGTCCCAAGCCACAGTCATGTCCTCGCTCTGGCTTTTTCGGAGGAAGCTCTCAGGATTTCACTGCCAGCACACCAGTTCACCTCAGATTGCCTCCGCTTTCCCACTTGCAAGGAAACCCGCTCCAGGGCCGAGCCCTCCCCTTGGCCCAGCCAACAAAGGCCAGGCTCTCTCCAGCCCTCCCCGCACACCTACTGCTCCATTGGAATGTCTATCTGTCTCTCTCTCTTTCCTATGGACGGTGACAAGCCTACAAAGTGCAGATTTGCCGAAAGCAGAGGAGACATCTGGTTTTGGGTCATCAGACTCAGCTCTTCCCGGATCCAAAGTTCCCAGCTTTCCACTTGCCTTTCCCCAGCGACCCGGCGCTCAGCAGCTTAAAGTAGAGTAGTTGGTTGGGGTGTTATTTTGTGGTCTGGCAGGTCCTCTCACTCCTTCATCCACAAGAATTAAATCAGGGCATTTCTTCCTCTGACTCATTTCCCTTCAGTCACAACAATGTGTTGTTAACCCCCCC